CAAAAGTAATCCATTCTCCTCTCCTGATGATAAGGAGACTCACTGCCCCTCCCACTTCTCTAGCCTCGTACTCTACGGCCACTCTGTGAAACTCCAAAATTTTCTTATGAGAATTTTCGATCTAAAACATTCAATATTTATTTTTGAAGTTATAATAAGTCCAAATAATAAACCGTCTTTTCAAAAATAATTATAATGTTGTGTTTTAGCTGCACTAAAATTTTCATAATTTTTAAACACTATTGAAATTTCTTAATAAACCGATACTTATCATTACAAGGGAAGTTTTTGGGACCGTTAGGTGTCCATTTTACAAATTAATTTCACAAAAAATGTTCTAAATAAAATAAGTTAATTTATTAATATTTTTTTGTAATTTTTAAATTTTTGAATTTAAAAATATAAAAGAATTTAAATAAAATAAATATTTTAATATTAAATAATTAAAAAATTAATATTTTATTAGAAAAATCCTAATTCACTATCATTATTATAATAAAGCTTTGTTTTTCTCCATTTTCCCCCAAACATAGAACGAATTAACAAAAATAAGGGAGAAAGAGAGGTGAGAGAAAGTCAAAGTCCGGTTTTTGGCAACTTTGGGATGTTTTCGTCCGTCGGCACAGTTGGAAAACTTATTAATTTGTCTCAAGATTGTAAGACTTAATAGAGTTCTCTAACTCTTTGCATAAACTCGCATCATAATTTATGTAAAAGAATTCGAAACGAAAAAAACTTGATTTTACATAAGTCTTAAATCCTCAAGATCTTAAACAAGATGATTTTCACAATCTTTAATCGGAAGAAAAACATACCTTGATTCATTTTGAATTCGTCGAATTTCGAACTATGGTTTCTCTCCCTTCTCCCTTCACTTTCTTCTATCATGAGTTAATCATCTATGGAGCAAGATAACTCCTCCTTATGAGAGAGAGAGAGGACCAATAGTTATTTCCTACGAATTTTTCATAATAACCCCTCATGAGAGTTATTTTACAATAACTCATAAAATAACTCATAGGAGTTATTTTACAATAAACGCTCATATGAGTTATTTTACAATAACTCATAGGAGTTATTTTATAATAACCGCTCATAGGAGTTATTTGATCAAACGGTCCATAAACGAATGATCAAATTATCTTTTCTTGACCAATAGGATTTAAACATAAATAATTAAATTGTAATAATTCAAATATATGGGCCACATAATGATTTATATAATTAAATATATATTCTTAAATAATTATTGCGACGTCTCGCATAATTAATATATTTAATTATTCTAACAAAGATAAGTCGCATTATGCTCATCTCAATTTTAAAAAATGTGAAATTTTTGGTGAATTTTTTTATTAAAATTTTGTGCCGTTAACGAAAAGTGTGAATAACATTGCACAGGTAAAACATTCATTGTATAACTTTTTATATTGTATATAGATTACAATTATGTACATTTTGAATATTTTTTAAAAATTTTACACCGGTGGTTTTTAAATTTATGCGGTTTTTATTGAATAAAAAATTATATGCATGTTGTAAAATAGTGTTGTAGTACAATAAAAAGTCTTAAAACATCTTTTTACACAATCCCTCGTAATTTATTATTTTTCTGAAAATATGTATTTTTGCCTAGTTGGATTTTCTGTTATCTATTGTTATATAAAACTGTAAAATTTTGATACATGCTCAATTACTCTTTAATTGTTATAATGTGATTATATATGTGCATATGTGAATAAATTATATCTGTTAGGAGCCATAAGGGGTAACCTTTGGTGTTTCCTACCTTACTGGATGGTCTATGCTTGTCTTCAGGGGTGCTGGTAGTCCTAGCCGATTACATTATATGATTGTCCTAGCCAAAAGGCGGGTTATGATGTGGTTGGGGCTCGCGCCCCTGCGGGTCAGCTTGTGGCAACCTTTGGTGTTTCCTACCTTACTGGATGGTCTATGCTTGTCTTCATGGGTGCTGGTAGTCCTAGCCGATTACTGAGCCCGCCTTTTGGATGTATTTTTCCTTTTTTATTTCTTCGCTCTCTTATTTCCATGTTGTAACCTTTGTTGTTCTTTTATTAATATATTATTGTTTGTGAATAAATTATATCTGTTAAGAGCCATAAGGGGTCATAACCCTTTGAGATTCTATTTGTACCAGAAAATTCTTGGGAGTTATAAGATGCTATAATCCTTTGAAATTCTATCTGAGATATGAATATATGATATGTTTTGGTGCTATAAGAATAAATAAAAAATTAGTCATAATGGGCCACAATCTCTTAAGATTATGTATGGGTCCAAGAAATATGATATGAACTATTTTGTGATATGAATTTCAATTTATTTATTTGTTTCATACTATTATTTAAATCAGAGAATAAATATTATGCATTAATTACATTTTCGAGTTTAGTGATTTATTTAAATTGCATTTAACTGTTTTTAAATATTCAACAAAATATTTGATAAAAGAATATTTGAAAATTTAGATTAGTTTGTGTGGCTTGCTAAGCTGTTGTAGCTCACTGTGGTTTTAGTTCTAGTTTTCAAGATCTGAGAAGGAGAAAGAGGTTATGGACTAGCAATTCTTGATCATATTTGAGGTCATATGTGTTTTACTATTTTGATTTTTGTATAATCATGACTAATTATATTTTATGTTATGTAGTTTTAGCATGTAGTCATGTAATGTAGTGTAGATATTTATTTTAATGAAATGAAAGAAATTTGGTGGACGAGTTTATTTTCAATATTTGGATATTTTATTAGGTATGTAGTCTGTAGTTTATTTTAATAAATATTGACAGAAAATTTGAAATAATTTCAAAATTAGATCTTGAGATTTGTATGTCGCAGCTCAATGCGATAGGACTTGTCCTATTCGAGTTGGATTATGACAAGCTTTTGGCTCCCTGGACAATAGAGAACGCTGCATAGACCTTCCACGATTGGACTCATAACGGCCGCCACTGCGGCTTTTTTGCTGTCCACCGTCGCGACTAGACATCTAATCACTTTTCGTTCAAAACAGACTAGATTGAGAGCACTACACATATGGGAGAAGCTTGTTATAGATGCCTTAAGAGGGGAATTTTATTTGGTCAGGTTGACCGAATGCAAGAAACATCCGGTTGTAGGAAAAAACGCGCCCATACCGAGGTGTACCGAGTTTTATGATAAAACTCGGTACACCTAATAAAACTCGGTACACCTCGGTATGGGCGCGTTTTTGCCAACAACCGGATGTTTCTCTGCATCCGGTCGGAGGACGTAATAATTGTTCCTTAAGAGGGGATGCATTTGCCCTCAGCTATTTTTTAGGAGAAATTTTACATAGAATGACGTATTAAACCAATTAAGCAGGTGACACATATAAAATCTTTAAATTGAAATGGAAAATAGGATTTTCTTTTATGCCTCAACCTAAATGACTTTAGAAATACATGCGGTGAAGACTTTAGAAAAATTGTGTATCTATAAATAATTAATTAATGTTAAATTTAATTTAAAATAAATTTAACATTTAATAAATTATTTAATTCTTATATTATATTTATCTTAAAATATATTAACCTATTTAGGAAAAAATGGATTAAAATATTTTGATTATTATAAAATTTTAAATTTATTTTAAGGTGAACGTAATTTTAAAATTATTTATTTATTTATCTTAAAATAAATTAAAAAATTAAAGTTTAAATTTTAAATTAAAATAGTTAACTTTTTTAGCCTCATTAGAAAAAGAACAGATAGGTTTTGGAACGATTATTGGAGAAATTTTTGAGCTGATCAAGGTCTAATTTTGGGCACAAACAGTACTATTAATTTTTTTATATTTTTAATTCAACTTTAGTAATTTCGAAGCCCAATGAATCCTTAATGCTCAATTCAAATAAAATAGAAGAATTTAAAAAGATTTAAGAATCAACCTTCCTCTCTATTAGAGAAACAAAATACTATTTAAAAGATGATAGATAATGCTTTAAATTTTTTTAATATATTGCACACAGTGCAAAATTTTTAATTTATTTTTGAGATCACGAGTAAACTCTCCTAATTTTAAATAAAAATTGTTTTCATCACAAACAATAACCTTGCTTAAAGCTGCCCCTAATCGCCATCATCACTAATCCCCCTCAGCCATTGCCATCACCTCCATTGACGACCAACGCCACAGGCCACCACCACTACCTCCACCACCGACAGCCACAACTAATATAACTCATTGTCATCTTCATCTTTTTTAAACTTCACAATTATTTTACTTCATCCAAATAATGCCAAAATATTCCTTTTCATTCCTTTTTCAACAAACCAAACTTCTACATTTTAATTACAACATATAATAAATTAATTATATTAAAAAATAATATATGATTCATAAAACTAAATTCACATTTAAAAAAACTCAACTAATGTTCTTAATCCAGAAGATACCAATATACCAAATAATCAGTATGCAGCGTACATCATTTACAAGAGAAATTTGCTTGATTTTTTAAAATAAGGAAACTGGAATGTGACTTTCAAACCTTCACATTTTTTTTTGGGGAGAGTTAGGGCATCACAAAATTTTCATTAATTTATAAAAAAGTTACAAGTGTAACTAAAATCCAGTAGAAGAGTAAAAAAAAAAAGAAAAAAAAAAGGAAAAATGCTTATAATTCTTGTAACCAAGCTAAAAGTCTAAAGCTTGGCGAAAAATACAAACATAACCCACTCATCATTATCCAATTCCCCATAAGCCAAAATAAATTCTGGAGCTGAAACAACATCAGCTTAATGAAGTTGCCTCCAGGAACAAAGCCAATCCAAAAATAAGACAGTAGAAAAAGCAAGGCACTTTTAGGAGAAATTATTCTGTGCGGACTCCAGTTAAGAATAATGACTTAGTAAGCTACTTACTCTTGGGGTAGGTAGCACTCGTGTTTCAACTATGGTAAGATTAGGTTCAACCACAATACCAACGTCTTTAACATACTTATCAATGTTATAATTTTTTTTTCTTGACCAACTAAAAGAACAATTGAGAGATCAGTATAAGAAATTCTAGAATTAACAAAGTTAAGAATAAGGTTCAAGCATAAAAAAAGTAGCGATCCCTAAGACTAAAATTTCATCAACAAAGTAAAGTTATACAGTGGATTTAAATCAAATGCACCAACCTGCAAAATGCTTTGTTCCCTCTCAGCTGGACGCTTGCAAGTTTATCTCAATATTTGAGTTACTTGTCGATCATTCAACTTCTTAATATACCTCTGTCCGTCCACAATTTTGCATACCTAAGTATAACCAAGTGCTATAGGGTCAAAGCTGAACAAAAATTGGAAGCAAATAATTTGTACTGTAGTTAAAAAGAACCTCCATTGGCAAGTATTTTGGATTGCTATCACTACCAGCTTTTATGCAAGGTATATAGTGAATCATACACAAGAATACAATTGTATTTTTCTCTGAAGTATTGGGCCACAGACTTCGTAGCTCCTTGTTCATCAAGGATAAACCTGTTGAAGAAAAGTAATGACTAAAAATGGCCAAATAAGCTGAAAAATCAAACATTTTTTTAGCATCCGAAAAACAATGACAAAAAGAAACAAGAAAATAACATCATCAACTGGCTCGTAGAATTTGATGTAATCCCTATGATTTTATAGCGTATGCACATATTTGAAGTATGAGTTGCTTCAACACGGACTCCTTTCAATGCCTTTTGTAACTGAAATTTTAGAAGTGTCATACAAGTGACCTAAAATAAATAACTAAGATAAAACAAAATTATTTTGCACGGGTATACTACTCTTATATGCTATACGATATTAGCAAAAAGAATTAAAAACATGCAGTTTGAATATAATAAATGAAAGCATATGATTCAAACCGGAAAGCAAACAACTCAAATTAAAATAGAAACTAATACCTCAAGCCATTGCCTTTCCGTTAAACTTCGAGGGATATATTCCATATTAAGATACTCCTTAACAAAGTCTAGAAGATTTACAGGCTTGTATAATGTTTTTGTTGAAATATCTGCAAATTCAAAGCAAATGCCACATTTATCATGACAAAATTACAACATAAAATAAACAATCATAAGATAGAACAAGCATGTGGAAGATATAACTTAATTATAACATTAAAAAAAAGTTCATTACCAACATTCAAAGACATTCCCATTTGTGTTGGTGATCGAAGACTTTGGAAATAACCCCTCAGGTGAATAGAATGACCTTGAGATTCTAACATATTTGTTACAAGAATACCATATAATTTTAATTTAAAAAATTCAGGCATAAAAAGAAAAAGAAAATTGTTTGAATTATTTCCATACTTGTTTAAAGGAGACTCTCTCAAGACCACATGTAGAGCTGCTATGATATCATAAGGGCATTCTCTCTGCTCCCGCCTCAGAAATTGCCTTAGAGAATACAAATCAAAAGCTTTTGCAAATTTGATAGAAATTCTGTAAGTTTTGTCCCGACTGTACAAAATTACAAGGTTTTTAGAATCGGACCGGACAACGAACCGGAGGAAGGAGAGATTCACGGTTCGACCGGTTCAACCGGTCGAATCGGGGTCGAACCGGATGACGTAATAAATAATAATATTATTTAAAAAATAAAATAAAAATCAAATTTTCCTGTAATTCATTCATTCAACATTCTATTTTCATAACTCCTAATTAAAATAACATAAACATGACATCAATTAAGTTTATGAAACATAAATAAATAGCATATACTATAAGTGTCTCTTCAAATAAGTCAATAAAACATAAACAAGTGTATAGCTTTCAATCTATAGATTTCACTGTTCTGCTCACTGATTCAAGAATATATAAACATTTTTATATATGAATGAGTGCTACAAAAAGCCCATCATTTCAATCTATAGATTTTATCATAATCTATAAACATTTCAATCTATAGATTTCATCATAATCTATAGATTTCACTAGATTGAAGAATATATAACCCTAAACCCAAATACACAAACATTTCAATCTTGGATTTTTTCACGCACACTATAAACATTTTAATCTCTATCTATCATATCATCATCTTCTTCCAAATGCCCATCAACACTAACATTAGGGTTACCATAAAGCCACAAAATCTGAACAAATCAAACCAAGCATAAATGGAGAAGAAATGCAAGCATGTCGATACGATTTGGAGAATAAATGCAAGCAAGCTTAAATGCATAAAAAATAACCAAAAAAAAAAAATTTAAGAACCTGAGGCTGCGAGGCTGAGGTCGCCGGGTCGGGTAGGAGGCCAAAAGCGAGTCTCGTTCGCGACGGAACCTCCGTCGGGATCGTCTGAGGCACGAGTCTCGTTCCGTGACTTCTCACTTCCATCGTTCGCGTATGCTAGGGTATACAGGAGACGAGCGACACTTATACGAGTACCGATACCCAAATATTCTAAGCCGTTGGATCGCAGATCAAGGGCTCAAATTACAGCTTTAACGGACCGGTCGGTTATTTCATAACCCCCAGGTTCGGCGGTTCAACTGGGATTTAAACCGGTTTTTACCCGGTTCTTAAAACAGCCGGTTAATCCTTCTCTCCGGACCGCCCGCCGGACCGGTTCGCGGTTGAACCGGTCGAACCGGCCGGTCCGGTCCGGTCCGGTCCCGACTGTACAAAATTATACAACATTAAATAAAAAACATGAAATTGGAGAAGCATAATACATATATAGAATAATATGTGGAATATGTGGGGTGTGTATGTGCATGAATGAGATTTGTGCAGGAGTATGTATAGGTGTAAAGAAAATGGTTGAAAAATTATTAGGTGCACAATATGCATGAGAATAAGTGAAATAGGCAAGCACAAGGATGTAAATATGTACACCGCTTTAAGACAGCAACGCACACATCAAATTCTTGGTGGTTCACCCTATACACGCTTGTACACACCATGCATTATTGGAAGTGTGTATTATGCGCCTAATAGTTTTCCTAGTATAACTCTCTTTTTTGATAAAAAGGTATCAAACTCTACTGATATACAATGTAGGAGATGCCCAACATGCTGCTCAATTTTCAAATCAAAATCATTAAAAAAACTAAAGTTTATTTAATACCATATGAATAAGTATAACAATTTGGACATCACAAAAGAATGAAACTAAACTAAACTCTTACCCATCTCTATCGGACAAAATTAACTCAAAATATTTTGATGAAAATGGAAGAGATCCAGCAGTGTAAAAGATATTACGACCATCATATGCAACCATACGCTGACCAAGGTGTGACTCCCCAAATTGCGTAGTCAATTTCTTCATCAAGGCCCTGCCAAATGCTCCAGACTTCACCTCATGATGAATTTTGAACTACTTGGTCAATAAAGCAAAGAACAATATAATGTCAGAAACTCAGAATGTAATTAAATATTTTCATAACAGAAGAATAATTAAGATGGATATACTATAGCTTTAGAACAAGATCATTAGTAATTTAAGAAAAAAAAACCACTAGCTTCACATGATTTATCAATTCACAATTTAAATTTTCCTAACCAAGAGACTTCCACCAAAACACTAGGAAATTTTCCACCAAAACAAGTTGCTTCTCATAACAGCCACCTCACATGGAACAATTATTACGTCCTCTGACCTGATATAGAGCTACGTTCGGCCGCCAATAACATGTCGCCACGTGCTCTGACTCTTTTACTGCGCGGCCCGATGACTTGACCCTTAGCGGAACCCGGGAATGCTATGTTCGCGATTTTCTCGGTATTGCTCTGTTTTTGCTAGGTATTGCTTTGCTCGGAATCTCAGATCGGTTCTGTTTTTTATTCCTTCTTCTCCGGCGTTGGCGACTGCATCTTCCTACTGGTGTTACCGTTGCAGTCGCTTTGTGAGGGTCTGGCCGCAGGACGCGATCGTCTGTCCTGACTGCGATGGTGGCTTTCTAGAGGAGCTTGACAATTCGCCGAGCGTCGCGCGCCGGTATCTTCTTGGCAGCCATGGGGATTTCCCAGAAAGCCAGCCTGAGCCCATCAGAATGTGTCGCCACAAGCGTAATGGAACCGGAGACCGCTCGCCTTTCAACCCTGTCATCGTTCTCCGCGGTCCTTCCGACAGCGGCGGTGACCGCGGTGCCGATCGCCCATCAAGCAGAAGCTTTGAGCTCTACTACGCAACAAATCTCTTGCAATATCGAGCAAATCCTGAGCAATACCGAGTTTTTTCTTGCAAAACCAGGCAAATACCGAGTTGTACCGAGTTTTTCTACAACTCAGTACAACTCGGTACAACTTGGTATTTGCTCAGGATTTGCTCGGCATTGCTAGAGATTTGCTCGGTATTGCTAGGTATTTGCTCGGTATTGCTAGAAAAAACTCGGTACAACTCAGTATTTGCTCGATATTGCTAGGGATTTGCTTGGTATTGTTAGAAAAAACTAGGAACAACTCGGTATTTGCTCGGTATTGCTAGGTATTTGAAATATATCCAAAAGGTGAAGGGATGTTGTTCGGCTCGTCAAGGATTTAAAAAAACGCACTTGCGAGAACCCGAAAAACAGTGATTCGGGTCGGCGACTTTTCTTCATGCTACGTGACGCTAAAACATTGGTGGCCGAACGTAGAGGAGCGTACGTTCACCGGACCAAATAAAAGTTCCCTCACATGTGGGCAAATAAAACTATCAAAAACAAAAGGAACATCAGAAATCTTTCAGGAATCAACGTAAAGGAATTAACCTTTATTTCTGGCCATACTCATTCAACTAAATGAAAATATATTGCCCTCAGATTGTTAGAAATTAAAAAAAAAAAAAAAAAAAATACAAAGATCGGGCTTATTCATCATCACTTCCAGTTCTAGCAACGAATCCTAGAAACTATTTGGTATTGTAGAGCTTAAATTTAATTAAATATTGAGAAAATATTTGGATACTTATTTCATTATTTAAAATATATTAGCTAAAATTAGATTTTAATAACAATTATTGAACACAACTCTCCTTAGCCTATTGGTTGAGAGCTTAGGCTTCCAACCAGTGGCGGAGCCATAAAATATCTCTAGGGGGGGCCTAAAATTTTTTTTATTATATTATTATTTTTCTTCAATTTTTTACATTTAATACAAACATATCCTTGCTACAGTTATACTTTCTATGTATTCCCTTAATTTCTCTCTTCTTCCCTTAATTATTATTATTATATATATATATATATATTATTAGGTGCACAATATGCATGAGAATAAGTGAAATAGGCAAGCAAAAGGATGCAAATAGTTACACTGCTTTAAGACAGCTATGCACACAACAAATTCTTGGTGTACACCCTATACACGCTTGTACACACCATTATTGGAAGTGGGTATTATGCACCAAATAGTTTTCCCATTATAACTCCCTTTTTTGATTAAAAAAGTATCAAACTTTACTTATA